CTGTAATACAAATAGTAAATTCAGTGACCAAATCGTATAAATTTCGTGATAAAATCAGTGATCAAATCATGTAAATTCCATATGAATTCCGTGCAAATTCCGTATCCAAACCATATTTTTAGTGATACGGAATTGTGCATTTTTCCGTATCCTATTATGATACGTTATTTCTAAGGAAAAAAAATCGTATAAAAACTTTATAAAAAACGTATCCAATTTTTTTGTAGGGCTATAATACAAAATATCCACTTCATATTTTACTAGTACCAAAAAAAATAAATAAATTGAAACATTCTAACTGAACCATGCAAGCACATGTACAAATACCAAAATTGTGCATCAAAGCCAAAAAATTATGTTATGATAACATTTGAGGAAACTTCTACGACTGATAATATTTTAGAGCACAGTAAAATAGTAGGTAAATAGTAGGTGTTAGTACACCTTCAGGTGAACTAGCAGCTAGTTATGTATCATTGCATAAGTGACTTCTTAGCACACAGAGTAAAACCAATGGGTGGTTTACAAAATAAAAAAGCTGTAGAAATAAGTTAACATATGGATAGTTTCTTGAAAATCAAAAATCAAAAGACTGAAGAGAAAGAAGAAAAATGGCACCATGAAGTTACCATCACCATTAGTTTATGAAGTTATTGTAGATTAAATCATTACATATCATAATTTAGCAGGAATTAACTAAAATAATATCTAGAGCCTTGTAGAGTTACCCAAAAATTAGATTATAAAGTTACCAGTAGATTATAAAGTCACCACTAGATTATGATGTTAGATTATGATGTTACCATTATTATAAATTATGTCATTGGATGAAGCCACCACTAGGTTATGAAGTTACTGTCATAACCTAATCTAAGTCACCAGTGATTCTACTTAAAAGAATCACTGGGTGGTATGCAATATCCTAATAGATTTATTCCACCTGAATGTCCATCTTTAGCTAATTTTTTAGATAATTCAAAAGTTTTATTAAAATCTTTATCATCTTTAATTCTTTATGCATATATGCAAGTCCAAATTGAGCCAAATTATTTTCTAATATTGCTGCTTAATTATATAATCCAAATGTTTTTTTTATCAAGATTGGTTCCAATTTCATGATAATTAGAACATCCAAGTAAATAAATAGAATTTGGATCATTTTAATTGTTCAAAAACCAAATATAAATTTCTTGTAATTTATATTATAATTTTCGAATTCTTCTTTCCTTCATTTACTTCTTTAAAACTTAGATTAACCAATTCATCAACTATAATACTTAAATCTTCAATATATTTTCATGAATATTTTTTTGAGTTATATGGAGAAAAAAAAATCAATAATATTTGAAATCTATGTAGTACAATACCAAATAAATCAAATAAATCATAGTACCCTAAGCCATGGGCGAAAAAAAGTGATAATCATGTGATTTGGTCTGCATTGCAGCGTTATACAAAATAATTAAATATAAACAGTGGAATACGTAATAGTATGACATAATCCATTGTTTAAAATTTTCTGTTGGCTTGCAAATTACACAAATTCATTTTTTTGGATTTGTGTCAAACACAAATATCTATAAATTGTATAAATTTTTTCTTCGACTTCCGCAGTAAGAAATAATTTTTTTTTTTTTTGTAAAATAATAATATAATATGTCTAACAATACTGAGCTTAAAATTATTGATAATTCAAATGAGTGGATTGATTGGATTAAAGAATCTATTGTGAAAAAACAAATAAAATTTTATGACTATAATATTCAGGAAATTGGTTTTGAAAATATTGGAAAAATCTATCGTATGAATCGGAAAAACTCTTATAGTTATTTAACGTTGAAATCTTTTTTTAATTTTAATATTACAGTTAAAAAAATTATTAATGGAGTAACTATATATATTTCTTGTCTTTAAAATATGCTAATGTATATTACGTTTCTAATTTTACCATATTATTTTATCTTTAGATTAAACTTCAACGTGAAGCGGATTTTCATGAAAATATAATTCGTTTTTATGGTATTTACAATTTTATAAATATTTTAAAAGCATTGTTTTATTTAATAAAGCTAAGCAAAATCTAAGAATTTTTTTTTTTTTGTTTTTCAAAAGAAATCCAAAACGATAATTCAAAAAAATATTTGCTGGTTATGGAATATGCTGATAGTGGTACTCTTCGAAACTATTTAAGTGAACGGTTTGAAAATCTAACTTGGAATGATAAATTAAATCTAGCATTTCAATTAACTGATGCTTTATCGTATTTACATGATAAAGAAATCGTGCATCATGATTTAGTAGGTTATTTACAATACTTATTTGCAATTTAATGATTTATACCATAAGGTTACATATATCTAATATCGCTAACTATTTGTTTTCTTTATTGCATTTAATAATAGCATTCTAACAATATATTAGTTTATAAAAATACTATCAAATTGACTGATTTTGGATTGTCAAAAAGGATTAAGGAATTGTTTAATTTTCAATCAAATTTACTTGAAATGATCACCCACGTTGATCCACGAATTTTTAATAGAAAAAGTGATAGCAACAACAAAATTAAATTATCATTAAATAAAAAGAGTAATATTTACAGCATTGGCATAATCTTATGGGAAATATCTAGTGGCCAACCACCTTTTTATAATGAATTACATGATGTTGGCTTGGCTATGAAAATATCACAAGGTCTCAGAGAAAAACCTGTTCCAAATATATTCGAGGATTATATAAAAATATATACTGGTAAATATAATTGAATAGTTATGGTTTATATTCATAATAATATTTATTGATTACAAATATTTACATTTAGATTGTTGGAATAATGAACCAGATGATCGCCCAACTATCAACCAAGTTGTTACTAAATTAAATGCAATTATTTCAGATTTTAAGCAAAACGATTCTAATGCAAATATTCAATTATCAAGTGAAAAACTACTTAAATCAAATATTGAAGTTCCTGAAAAAATTATAGATAATTCATTACATGAAAAAATGTCACAAGTTATTCAAACTTTCAGTAGGATAAATATAAAAGAAATAGAACCTTCAATTTTAACAAATCTAATCATAAATGATTTTGAAACAATGGTTATTGAAATCATTTTCTTTCTCGAAAATATAGAAACAGAAAGGAGAAAACATGAAATTATTGATTATCTGAATAATTATAATATAACTTTACAGGAAATTTATTACTGGTTATCAATTAATCAGAATGATTCAAATTCAATTTTTTTACTTGGATTATTTAATCATTTTGGAATTGAAATTAGTGTTAACAAACAAAAAGCATTTGAATTACTATACCAAAATGCGGCAAATTCAGGAAATGTTTCTGGAATAATTAGTTTAGGATATTGTCATGAGAAAGGAATAGGAACTAATGTTAATAGACAAAAAGCATTTGAATTATATCAAAAGGCAGCAAATTTAGGAAATTCACGTGGAATATATAATTTGGGAGTTTGTTATAATAATGGAATTGGAACTAGTATTGATAATCAAAAGGCATTTGAACTATATCAAAAGGCAGCAAATTTAGGTAATTTACTTGGAATAAATAATTTAGGACATTTTTATTTAAATGGACTTGGAACAAATGTTAATAAACAAAAGGCATTTGAATTATTTCAAGTGGCAGCAAATTTAGGAGATTGTATTGCTCAATCTAATCTTGGTTTTATGTATGAAAATGGAGAAGGAATTGAAAAAGATATAAATCAAGCAATTTATTGGTATCAAAAATCTGCTGATCAAGGAGATCAAATAGCTCAAGAAAAGTACGATGAATTAATAAGTGAAGAGTATTAATTTGTATATAAATTCTTTTTAGAAATCTAGAAAAAAATTTATAGGAAATACAATATGAAATTATGAAATTATTGGCCTGGTTATTTTTAGAAACAAAAAAAATCTAGCGGTATAATAAGTTCTTTATATTTTAAAATTTTAACTAGGAAAAAAAATTACAGGTTTATAATAATGGTATTATTACCAAGCAAAATTGGTTAAATCAAAATGTATAAAATCTTATTAACAAAAGTAAAAATTGTAATAAATGAGTATATTTTATTATTATTCCACTTATTAAGACGTCAGATTGTAATGCATAATGAAACTGTTCAAATTATTGGCCAAAATCGAACATCGCTGTTAACACCTCTAAAAATAATCAATTTTTTAAAAAATTTGTGAATACCCGTGATTTTTTTAAATAATTATCTGGAAAATAGTTCGGGGAAATTATGGAAAATTCCCAATTATTTGAGTAATTTACTTATAAAAAACTGTTATTGTACACATTTTCTAGAAAAATAATAGGTATTCATAAATTTTTGATAATCATATTTTTATAGGGGTGCTAGCAGGACCCAGAAATATATATATAGGGGTCAGGTGGCAAAAAATTTTTTTACTATGAGCTGTACGCAGAGACTTTTTATATGAGTAGTACGCATAATTGACACCTGATATTGAAAATCCTGCAAAAATACGCAAATAAAATTTCAGACATTAAGTTATTAATTATTTTATCATGGCTTTTCTATTATTTATAAAACCAAATACTAATGTGAAAAAATAGAATTTACCATTTTTCAATAATATTTTTCTAAAATTACACTTTTAACCATTAGAAATTTCTTTCAATTAATACTAAATATTACAATGCGGTTAATTAAATAAGTACGTACAATAAAAATATTTTATAAATAAGATTAGCCAAATTTAGGCCAAAAATACGCAAACTAATTTTTTACATATAAAAATTTTGATAAAAAATACGCAATCTTGATGACCTAACTATAGATGAAAAATTCTAAAATTGTACGCAAATCAAAACTTTACTCCGTCTAATTCCACTATGATGGCGACGCATCTGTGTACCCTACCCCTGTATATATATTTCTGGGTCCTGTGCTAGCTGTCATCGCACTAAATTGAAAACAATAACAATAATCGAAAATTCGATCAGAATCGATTAATCTCGATTATCGAATAAAAAATCGAAACTATAGTGCCGGCCCGAATTACGAAATGATGAATCACGTGACATCATGTCTTTGCATTATGCGAAATTTTGAATTGCATTACAAAAAGTTTTTAATCCGGAATTATAAGCTTTGACCAGAGTTACCACCGATCAGTCCGATCACGTGCAATAAACGTTTTATTTTAAATGCAAATTCATAAAATTTAATAATATGTTAAATTCCTGTTACAAAAATTAATGATCTAATTATGGAAATCGATTCCAATCCCGAAAACCAGTAGGCTTTTTGGATAATTCATTAATTCACCATACATTTCTATTGAAGTTTATATACAGTACTATATCATATTTTTTTCATGTGAAATTCAATAGAAGGAAAAATTACAGTTCATATTACTTCCCATAATAGTATACTTTTTGGTGAGTTTATATTCATAAACTAATGTATATAAAAATTCAGTTTAAGTAATTATGAAGCTATTTCAATTTATATAATTAATATTATTTTAATGTCTCTTTCATGAGATTCTTCTAAAAAATTTCTTTTAAAATAAAGTTGTTTGACTGAATCATGATTCACATTATTATTATTAATTTTTATTCACTTGGCTATCAGACTTTAGAAATGAGATACTTATTTTTGTGTCAATACTCAATGTCTGAAATGCATAATTTCTTGAGTCATTATAATTATTGCATGGCGTTTAAAGTTTAGTTATTGGTTTTACCGTTCTTTTGCATAACCAATCAGACTCATTTTCGTGTCAAATATCTTAAATGATCAATTTTTGAGTTTATCATTTTTGTATTTAAATAATAATATTATAAAATTATTTCTTTAAACAATAATTCAAAGTCAAGGGCATTGGCCATACAGGAACTATGCGGAAATGATTCCCTGGACTTATCTAGTCTCCTTCTGGTACTCACCTTCAAGTTGTCTTGTTTTTGAATTTTTATTTGAATATTTCTTTGAACTCTTTAACTTATTCAAACAAAAAATATTTTTTAATTTTATTTTGTATTTATACTTAGAGTTTTATTAACAAACTAAGTATTTATCACTTGTTGTTTATTGACAAAATATATTTTTGATTTTTTATTAATATTTATCAGAACTATTCATATAAAAAGGTTGACATGTAAAAAAACCATATACGCAATGGAGAATAGCTACATGGGATGGTTTTTATTTTGAACAATATTTCCGATAAAGAATTGGATCTGAGACGAAGGAAGCGAAGAAAGTGTCAACATTAAAGTGTCAATCGAAAGTTAGTATTTTACACATTCTTAGGGAGTAGTGAACATGCTACATCTCATGTTCTCAGCTTCTTGCATATAGGGAAGAAGAGCATCCAGACATAAATTCTCATTATATACACATCTTACTATGTGGTTATTTAGATCTGCTGATACTGAAGGAGAAATCTGCTACTATCTTACTTTTTGCATTACTAGAATCTAGAAATAAATTTGTGATTCTTTCAATTGCCATCATTATAATAATGTTTAAAAATACCAAATTAGTTTTATCCTCTCATTTTATTTGGTACATTGTAACATAAGGACAAATATTTAATAGCCATTTTCCTATCTGGGTTAGGGATGGCAACGGTCACGGTCATTAACCGATTATGACCGGTCATGACCGTGACCGATATCGGTCGGTCAAGACTTCTGACCGACCGTTTGACTGACCGTTTGACCGACCGTTTGACCGACCAAATTTTTTTATGAAAAATTTAATAAAAAACGTCGCGAAAACGTTTTTTATTAATAATTAATTAAAAAAAAATGTTTTTTGCAAACGTTTTAATCATTTTAACAAAAAACGTTGTGAAAACGTTTTTATTAATAATTTAATAAAAAATAAACGTTTTCGCACGTTTTTTCAATTGCCTTAATAAAAACACTGCGAAAATATAAAAAAAATGATCGGTCAAATGGTCGGTCAAACGGTCGGTCGGTCGGTCAAAGGTTCTTGACCGGTAATGACCGACCGATGACCGACCATGACCGACCGTTGCCATCCCTAATCTGGGTATATTAAATAAATAAAAATTCAATTATTAAATACATTAATTTATATGATAGCAATATTTTTACAAGCTTTGCAGAAACAGTTCAACGAACTTAAATCATGGAGAGACCAATGGTTCTGATAGAAAAAATGAAAAAGTAAATCATCAGTCCAGACTTAACCAAAAAGAGATACCAGATCAAGTACCTTCTGTTTACTTCGTGGATCTGGCAAAAACAAATATTATGGGAAATTTCCTTTGATATTAAGGCTGATGAATTTCTGTTGCTCATGGGTTCACAAGCATCTGGAAAGGCAACATAAGCATTTGGTTTATGCAACAGTTACTTGATGAAAATTGTCTTAATTTTCTAGTAAATTTCACTTGCTTCTTTAACATATGTATTGCTTGCTTACTGATTACATACTTATTGTCTAGTATAACTTTGGAGCATATAAAGGTCAATGTATTTTCTGGAATAGATAAAGCAATGAAACAGTCAACTAAACAAGAATATCAAAATTTCAAAATAACTTCAGAAAAATTAGAATTAGAAACAATTTGCTATGTAATTTAGTTAATAATACTTCCATTTATTTGTAAATTTTACTGTTACATGTGAACTTGATTTATATTAAATTGAGTACAATGATTGAGTATTCTTGTTAAACATTTAAACTATGGTGTCTATTAAATTTAGCCTTAATTAAATATTAATTATTTTTTGACTGACGCCTTTTTTTATAAAGTACTTTTATTACTTTTAACTTAATATCTGACTAACTAACCTTTATTACTAGTTTTTTTTAAAAAATATATATCACAATAAATTATCTTAAGATATAAATAAAACACTTTATGTGCAACCAATAATAATACTTCCCAAAATCAAACCTTTTTTTACTTTGATTATTCTAAAGACAAAAATTAGATATACAGTATATATTTTTTCAGGAGATTTTTCCAAACAAAATTCTAATTTCACATATAAATAAGCCCAGAAGCAATAATTTATTTATTTAACTTGTACAAGACTAACAATATGAGACATCATAAGAATGACATTTTTGTGTTACTCAGCAGTTCCCAGTGATTAAGGATGATTTCTGCGTATAATAAAGGTTAATTATATGAAATTCTGTGATTTTGTCAGAATTATGCAAGGTCGGCCAACATTACGATTCACAAATTCTGGCCAAACTTAATATCAGCCAGCATTATGATGATTGCAAATCAGGCGAAAATTATCATCATTTTTCTGTGAAATTCTGTGAAACACAGAAAATTATCGTCCCTGTCCGGACAAATCTACTTTATCTGAAGTAATCAATTAATAAATATACTGCGGTAGATTAACAAATAATTTCTATCCTGATGCCCACATTTCATGTGTGCCTGCTAACCGTGAGTGCATTTGATGCAATATTTGATAATTTTGTTAATTTAGTTGGCTGAAATTTTTTTGTGGTAATTTCGTGTTTTCCTAGTACAATGCTGTTGAATTTTTTTATGGATTGCAGATTTTGTGACTCATGTGGTTATGATGATGATAATGTGGTGATAATGTGGTGATGATGATGATGATGTAGAAGGCCAGGGCATTTCTTGGTAGATTTTGATATAAAATTTGATTGTTAATACAAATAAAACTAAAATTATGTAGTTCTAAATAAAACTTTCCCTCAATTGATGTTAAAGCATCTGAAAAAAAATGAAAAAAATGGAAGATCCATGTTTTAACAACGTAGTATGATTTTTTAAGCAGCTTCCATTTGAATGGAATAATGTGATTGGAATATCAGTTAGTTTATCTTTAGCCATATAGTCTGATGAGATGATACTTTCAAATTGTGTACCAAGATTTGTAAAAAGTACTGAATCTAATATCAAAGCTTGCCTACAACGTTTATCTGATGGATTGGTAAATCTTCAGGTTTGATAGGTAAAATGGTGGCAGAGGTTAAGATTAACTGGGTCCTCATGTAGATAATATGAAAATCACATAAAATAATAATTATAATATTAGTGTGAAATTTAATTTTAAAACAAATAATAAATGTATTTAAAAAAAATTAAGAATAAAGTTTAATTTCTTACATCAATTTGATTATAAACAAGTCCAATGCCAAATTTTGAATTTGTAATAGATAAGACTTGTCCTTCTTCCAATTTTGATACATAGAATGGTTTTTCTTTGTTAAGAGGAAAACACTATAATATTAAATATTTGGGTAGCATTTGAGTCACCTTCAAATCTTGTATATCCAGTAGCCATTCCTATGAAGAATTCACCTGGCATTTCCTTATATTCTGAAATATAAAGAATTGTTGAAAGCTGCGCAGGCATTAGAAAATAAAAATTAAATGTAAAATTATTTTAAAAGAAAGTGATTTTTTTTTCGTCGTGTGCGTGGGAAAATCAAAAAAAACTGATTTTTAAAAAGAAAATTCGTCATATGGGAAATCCAAAAAACTGATAAATTTTTTTTAAAAAAAGCAATGATGATTTCTCATATGAAGAATTTCATTGTCATAATTAAATTATTTTTATAGCTTAATAAATTTTTTATTTTTATATTGCAATTACCAATCGGATTAGTTTCATTTCGTTGCTATAAATTTGTTCTATTTATGCAGCCTAATTCAAAATTGTATTGAGATTAGGGCCTGCCCAATTAAGCTAATTTATATGACTAATGATGTGCCACTCCGAATCCTGGACGATCCAATTTAGATTATGCGGCTTCACCGTCGCACAATGTTTAGATATAGATTAGTATATATGTATGATTTACACAAATCCATAAATAGAATATTTTTTTTACTTCCTTCGTCAAAAATTTTTTATTGTTTTACTCCATTTACTTATTTCTATTAGTAAAAATAATAATAAAAATGCAAAATAATGAAAATATAAATGAATGGATTAATTGGATTGAAGAAGCCATTAATAAAAAAACATATTAAATTTTAAAAATATTCAAGAAATTGGTTCCGGAACATTCGGAAAAATCTTTCGTTACCTTAAAAGAAATTGTTAAAGAGGTATTACATTTATACTTATTTAAAAAAAAAAAAAATTCGATTGAATACAGTATTTTATTTTTGATTTTTTTTTTTCTAATTATTGTACGTTCCATTAGCTTGAACTTCAACGACATGTAGATTTTCATAATAATATTATTCGCTTTTATGGAATTACAAAACATGAGTCAAGTACTGGTAAGAATATCCATAAAAAAAAAATTAATAACGATTGTAACATATAAAGATGAATAATTAATAATAATTATTTTATTAGAAAATATATTTAATCCAACAAAAAATTATTTGTTGGTAATGGAATACGCTGACAGTGGTTACACTTCGTGATTATTTAAAAAATAACTTTCATAGACTTACTTGGAATAATAAATACAACTTGGCATACTGGTTGGCTTGTTCCGTACTATGTCTACATGAAGAAGGAATTATCCAACGGGACTTGGTATTTCATTTTCCGGTATTAATAATATATTGATTTCAACAATTACTGTATAATTAATTTATTCTTATTTTTATATTATAATAGCATTCCTGTAGCGTATTGATTCATCAAGATTTTATTAAGTTGGCGGATTTTGGCTTATCAAAAAGGATTGATGAAGCATCTAAATCACAATCAAAATTGTTTGGTATGGTTCCCTATATTGATCCAAAAGTATTTATATTGAATGGCAAGAAATTAGATGAGAAGAGTGATATATACAGTATTGGTGTACTGTTATTGGAAATATCAAGTGGAAAACCCCATTTCATGAAGAGAAATATGATTTTAGTTTAATGTATAAAATTTCACAAGGTCGAAGGGAAACAACCGTTCCCAATACTCCTAATGATTATTCTAATCTTTATACTGGTAAATATAAATGTATTGTTTGATTTATTTATTAAATTATTATTCTAATAAAATGCATTTCTTTAATTATTAGAATGTTGGAATAATGAACCAAGTAAACAGCCAGCTATGCATGAAGTTGTTAATAAATTAAGCATATTTATTTCAAATTCAGATAACATAACAATTTATCAACAGAATGATATAGTATCTGTTCCTGTACCAAATGAAAAAAATACAACCCCAAATAGTACAGGAAATTCATTGCATGGAGAATTATTTAATATGAATATAAGTGAGGTAGATAGGATATTTACAAATGAACGAATTAATGAAAACATTACATCTGAGATTAACGAAATAGTTGATTTCATTTTTGAAGAAGTTAATAAAGGTCATATGAAGGTAAAACGGAATGTTCTTGATTATTTGGATAATCATATTATAAACTCAAAAGAAATTTATAATCGATTATAAGTAATCGAAATACTTTAGAATCCATCTTTTTTCTTGGTTATTTCAATTATACTGGAATTGGAACGACCAAAGATAAAGAGAAAGCATACAATTTATTTATTAATGCATCAGAAAATAATTATATATTAGCACAATATTATGTTGGAGAATGTTATAGATTTGGAAGTGGAATTACAAAAAATCAAAAACTTGTATTTAAATATTATAAAAAAGCAGCTAATTAAGATTTTGCAAGTGTACAAATGAAATTAGGTTGGTTTATAATAAAGGAATAAGTTAAAAAAGATTTAAAATTGGCTGCATACTGGTATAAAAAAGCCGCAAACAATGGAAATTTAAAAGTTATGCATAACCTTGGCCACCTATATATAAATGGGGATAGTGTTGATAAAAATAATCAAAGAGCTTTTGAATTATTCAAACAATCAGCTGAAGGAGAATTTTCAGGTGGAATAACGATGTTAGCTTATCGTTACAGTAATGGAATTGGAATTAATATTGATAAATAAAAGGCATTTGAATTACAACGGAAGGCTGCAAATTTAGGAGATATGATGGCAAAGTTTATTCTCGCAGTTATGTATGAAAAAGGAGATGGAATTGAAAAAGATTTAAATTTATTGGTATGAACAATCTGCTAAACAAGGACATCAAAAAGCTCCTAAAAAGATTAAAAGAATTCAAGAAAAATTAGAATTAGAAATAATTTGCTATGTAATTTAGTTAATAATATTCCATTTATTTGTAAATTTTTCTATTATATAGGAACATAGGCATGGCAATTTCAAACACTAGAATTCATTAAAATTATTTATGTAATATTAATTTTATATTATTAAATTAAGTATAATGAATGATGTATTTTTGTTAAACATTTAGAACTATAGTGCCTCTTAAAAAGGAATAAATGAATAAGGTTTAATCCTTATTTTTTGAGAAAAATCCCTAACACTTTTCTTTATAAAGTACCTTACCTTTTAGCTAAATAACCATTAATATTTTTTAAAAAAATTTTATATCACATTTATATCTTAAATGTAAACTTTTTTATTTTGTATGGCTGCTTCAAGATCGATTAATTCTATAGGGCCATCTTAATAAGTTGAGTTTGGTATAGCTTAAGTATTTGATGCATTTAAAATGTAAATCTCGTAGTATCCTGCGATACATTTATGCGTGTTTTGACTTGCTATATATCACATGTTATTATGTGATTCAATTAATTATAAAATTTAAAAAAAACTATTTAATTTTTGAAGATTTAATTATAACGACAAGAAAAAGAAGTAAATTGTTCAAATTATGAAAATATCCGTCTGTCTTCTTTCCTCAGTATTTAAAAAAGAAATTATATATAACAATATTTAATTATACAATTTATTATACACTTATGCTTTACTCTCGTATATAATTTAATTTAAGTGACACTACATTAGAAATAACTTTATCATCAACTACATTTTAACCAATAAGTTATAATTACTAACTCGCCTTTGAAATATTATACAGCTTTATTCTCACTTTGAATATATTCAAAAATGATTGAAGTTAATTAATAAGAAGAATTTCAAAAATTTCATTGTAAAATAACGGGTACTAAGCAATCATTTTTTTTCTATAAACAAAAATGTCAGATAGTAATTATTTTAATAACTGAAGAAATATATTTTCTTTATTACGATAAAACATTTAAAAATTAAAATTATATTGATGTTTGCTATCTTTAGGATTGTTTAGTTATATCAAAAAAAATAATTCTATATAAATTAGGAACTTGAATCTGTATTTTTAACACTAAGCAATAATAAATAACATTAAAAATTATGTTGACAAGTTTATAATGTTCCACAATTAAATTTTGATAAATCTATTAAATTGTACTAGTTATGGCAAATATAAGAAACATACTTTTTGCTTCATATTTTTGATAAGGATGTCTGCCTTTCCGATTATCAAAAAAATAATCTATGGCCAATACATTTAAATATCGAGAATTAATTAATAACCTTAAGATTAAATACTTAAAATTTGATAAAACTTATGACATCATCAATTTCATAAAAATATTGTCAGGAAGAATACTAATTACAGTTATTACTAGTTGCACATTTGTTTCTTTTGATTAATCTAATAAACATAAATTAATATTAGCTTTAAGACGTTTTAAGCTAGATAAAGATATTTCTCCAAATGACACAAATTTACATTTCAATGTTCACAACCGAAAAGTATATCCATTGGAAATTCCTAATTCTTTGTTATTATTATAAAACATTTAAAGTTTTTTTGAGCTCCAATTAATCTACCGATTTTCCAGAATTATTATAATTTTGTAATATCACATGCGAGTGTTCTAATAGTATCCTTCCAAAATATTTCTTTATTATAGTTCACGATTAATGATTTAATACATTTTTCGTTTTAGAAGTTTATTAAAATATTTTTATCACATATTTATATAATATTTACATATAAATTAAACTTTAAAAAATTATTTAATAATATAAGAAATAAGTTATTTATTTATTTATTAATTCGCAAAGTTCTTTTATTACATAATGAAAACAATATTAAGATTAAAGAGAAATGATTATTCCTATAGTGTATGATACAATGATGGTAAAGTAACGATTCACCCAAATATCGATAACGTATACCTAAATTCTGAAAGCTTATTATATTTTACTTATCGGCATTTTTTTTTATTAACAAGTGAATTTAGCAAAAGAAAAGATTTAGTTATGTTTCTTTTTCGAGAGTTTTAACTTTTAACCAACAAAAAAAACTTATATTCACACAATAAGCTAAACTCCACACATGACCCGGATGAATATTTTCGGCAAACTATAAACTTTTTATTGATCTAATCGATTCTTTGCGTTACACAACTTTTCTTTTCTTTTAATAATTTTAACGTGTCCAACAAAAAAATAAGGATGTGAGAAAGTTGAATGAAAGAGAAGATATTTTAAAAAAAAAATGTTACAAATGCCAAAACAATATTAAAGATTCATTTGGAATTAATATTTTATTTATTAACAATGTTATTACAATTTAATTTTTTTTTTTATTACATTTTTAAGACTAAGAAATTATTAGAAGAATTACATAATAAGTCAAAAGGTCATTTATAGTAAAAGAAAATTTGTCCCAATTTCAAATTATTGTAAAAGATGAACAACGAAAGAATTTGAATAATTTTTAATCATACTACAATGTATTCGGAATAGTATTGTAGCATATTTAATAGAATTCATAAATTATAACTAAAAAACTATTTAAGTCTTTTCAACAAATAAAAAAATAATCATAAAATATTCAATCTAGTTGTTAATAAAGAAATACACTGTCATGGCGTCATGCTGTCGTAACATAATTACCGAAAATAATCATAATGGTGTAGCCGAAAAACGGAGCCGAATTCCTGATTGCCGATGTAACACCTATGCCCGTAATAAAATACGTTGCCACCATAGGTATTAACAAAATAACTCTTTAATTATGATATAAATAAATACAATAATATGCTTGGTTTAATACTGTTAAATAATAAATAAGTTAATTATATTAAAATTTTAAAGTGCGATAATTTCTCCATATTAGTAACCTTTAATTCTATTAATTTACTTAATGTGGCAATTTTTCATCATAAGAAAAATGCTAAAAGATTCGTGTTATTATTATTATTAGAATGAATTTATAATACTTAACCATTTTTATTTCCTAAAGTCCGAAATTATAACTTGTTTTTCAGGAAACCAAAATATTACGCCTATTTATACTTCGCCAAATTCATAATTTACTTCATGGATCTTAATCTTTAAAGTAATTCCATTATTTTAAAAGTATTTCCATTGTTTCAAAATAATTCCACAAAATATTTACAATTTCCTACTTTCCATAAGATCATCATTAACTCCTTAATTATGATTTGTAATACCTTTCACGTAATGATCTACTTCTCGGATCACTAATTATCCTTAAATCATGTGACTAATAGTTTAACGACTTCACGGTCCGATAGTTATCCCTAATTTTTATGACCAATAGTTTAACGTCATTTCGGACCAATAATTATCCCAAATTTTTGTAACCAATAGTTTAACGTCATTTCGGACAAATAATAAATACAACTAAAAATAAATTAAAATTTTATATACTAAGATTAAATATAATACTGCGCCCCACAATTAGTAAATTTACTATGTATACTACGGACTACGGCATTACACCGATCATCCGGACCCGGGATCATGTATGCAGATCATGTATAACCTGGAAACAAATCCGGGCTACCATTTTTTTATTGGGTTGTGATCATATGACACTTTTGTGTCACCCAGCGTCTTTTATTTCGTTCTGAATTAATTAATTGTTATTGTTTACATTGTCGAATTTACTGGAATATTTTTGGTATTAATAAGACTATTTATTTTTATTTTTTAATTGAGGCTTAACTAAAAAAAAAAAATGCGTAAGCAAATACCGCGGTTGATCGGCAACTAATTTTAATGTTTGTTACGTAACTCTATAAATATACACAAATCCATAAATAGAATTTTTTTTCTTTTCCTGACTAACCACCGTCAAAAATTTTTATTGCTTATTTCATTTACTATTTCTAATAATAATAAAATAATAACAAAAATGCAAAATAACGAAAATATAAATGAATGGACAAATTGGATTGAGGAGGCTATTATTAAACAACATATTAAATATTATGAGTATGAAAATTTTAAAAATATTCAAGAAATTGGTTCCGGGGCATTTGGAAAGGTTTTTCGTGCAAATTGGAAAAATTTTGGCCATTATTTAGCATTAAAATCATTTTATAATCTAAATAACATTACCTTAAAAGAAATTGTTAATGAAGTAATTAAATATTTTAATTTCATTTTTATTAAAAAAAAATTATTTTTTCGTATACTCTTTTTCATATTTATTCATTTTCTAATTATTATGCATTTATAATTTAGCTTAAACTTCAACGAGAAGTAGATTTTCATGACAATATTATTCGCTTTTATGGAATCACAAAATTTGAATCAGGTATTTGTAAATATATAAATATCAAGTATAACAAATTAAAATTAGGTTTATTTAAATTTTTTTTTTTTTTTTTTGTAAAAACTAATAATCGATTCTTTCTTTTTTTATTAGAAAATAAAATTGACCAAACAAAGAATTATTTGTTAGTAATGGAATACGCTAACGATGGTACTCTTCGTGACTATTTAAACAAAAACTTCAATAGTCTTAGTTGGGATGATAGGTATAATTTAGCACATCAATTAGCTTGTTCTGTATTATGCCTACATGATGAAGGGATCATTCACCGAGATTTGGTATTTTTTTTAATAAAATATTTAAAATATTTTACAAACTAAATTAATATTATTTATATATTATAATAGCATTCTTGTAATGTATTGGTTCATAAGAAATCCATCAAGTTGGCGGACTTTGGATTATCAAAAAGGATTGACGAAGCATCGAATTCACAATTAAAGTTACTTGGTATGGTTCCCTATATTGATCCAAAAGTATTAATGAATAGCAATAATTTAAAATTAAATGAGAAGAGCGATGTATATAGTATTGGCGTTTTATTATGGGAAATATCAAGTGGGAAACCACCATTTCATGAAGAGAAAAATAATATTGGCTTAATCTATGACATTTCACAAGGCCGAAGGGAAGAAATTATTCCTGATACTCCTAATGATTATTCAAATCTTTATATTGGTAAATATGATTTCAATATATTGTTTGTTTTACTTATTAAAGTCATTATTTTAATCAAATTCTTTAATTATTAGGATGTTGGAATAATGAACCAAGTAAACGACCAAATATGCATGAGGTTGTTAATAGATTAACAGTATTTATTTCAGATTCAAATAGCACAACAATTGATCAACAGAATAACATATCTGATCAAACTTATCCTACGCCAAATGAAAATCTAACTCCAAATAGTGCAGGAAATTCATCACATGGAGAATTATCTCAAATGATTCAAAATTTCACTAATATGAATACAAGAGAAATAGATAGTATGTCTAAAAATGAACAAATTAATGAAAATCTTTCACCTGAGAAAAATTTAAGCATTACGATTAATGAAATAGTTGATCTCATTTTTAAGGAAAATATTAAAGATAATATGAAGGTAGAACAGCATGTTCTTGATTATTTGAATAATCATAATGTAAATTCAAAAGAAATTTATAATTGGTTATTAAATAATCAAAACAATCCAGAATCTATTTTTTTACTTGGTTATTTTAATGTTTATGGAATTGGATCAACCAAAGATGAAGAGAAAGCATTTAATTTATTTATTAATGCATCAAAACAGGATCATACATTAGCACAATATTTTGTTGGAGAATATTATGAATTTGGAGATGGAATTACAAAAAATGAAAAACTTGCATTTGAATATTATGAAAAAGTAGCTAATAAAGATTATGCAAGTGGACAATTTAAATTAGGTTGGTTTTATGATATTGGAATAAGTGTCAATAAAGATTTAAAAATGGCTGTGTATTGGTATGAAAAAGCTGCAAATAATGGAGATTTAGAAGCTATGCATAATCTTGGCCTCATATATAAAAATGGAGATGGTGTTGATAAAGATCATCAAAAAGCTTTTGAATTATTCAAACAATCAGCTGAAGGAGGAGATTCAAGTGGAATAATGATGTTAGCTTATTGTTACGATAATGGAATTGGAATTAATATTGATAAACAAAAGGCAGTTGAATTGTATCAGAAAGCTGCAAATTTAGGACATATAACGGCTCAATATAATCTTGCTATTATATATGAAGAAGGAGATGGAATTAAAAAAGATTTAAATAAAGCAATTTATTGGTATGAACAATCTGCTAAACAAGGACATCAAAAAGCTCAAAATATATTAAAAAAACTAAGAAAAATTAGAATTAGGAACAATTTATGATGTAAATTATTTGTACCATTACATAGAAAAATAAACATGGTAATTTTAAACATCAGTATTTATTAATTAAATTATGTAGTATCAAATTTTTATAATATTAAATTGAATATAATGAATGTGTATTCTTGTTAAACACTTAAAATTATTATACCTTTTAAAAAGGAATAAATGATATACTATAAAGTACTTTCATTACTTTTTAACTCAATAGCCAGTAATATATCTTAATTTTTTTAAAAAATTATATAATAATAATTACATTAGTATCTTATTAATACAAAATGATGTATAGATAAAACACTTAATATGCAACCAATAATATTTCCCAAAATTCCAATTTTTTACTTTGACTCAGCTAATTCTATATGGCAATTTTAATTAATCGAGGTAGATCTTTTTTGGCCAAAAGCAGGTTGTCCAAAAATATACTTGAGAATTTGTCGTATCTAAAATGTAAATCTTAACATTTCTTCTATTTGTTGAATCCAGATAAAAAAATCTCATTAGGAGGATAAAATTAGTGTAATTCTATAAATACACAGGTGATCGTGATAAATTGGATCTTTGATAAACCGGATTTGGTGTAGGGTTTCAATCTGTTATCTGAATTAGAATCCGGATTGAAATCTGTATTTCAGATTTAGATCTGGATTAAGACTTGTAATTCGGATTAAAATACAGATTACAGCTGTTTTCATAAGACCTGGGACAAAATAAATTTTTGGACCCGACCACCAACCCACCAATCTGGTTCAGTTGTTATTTGCTTTACAAATCAAATTATCAAATCTGGATTACATGCCTAGCGAAAAATACTGGATCAGCAGGTCAGTGGGTCGGTGGTCGGGTTCAAAAATTTATTTTGTCCCAGGTCTTATGAAAACAGCTGTAAATTATATTGTCCAGATTAAATCTGAATGAGACTTATGATAATTATATATCAATAAATTATTTAATATAAAATATTATATATTATATAAGTTTTTTTTTTATTTTTTAATAAGATTAGTATGCAATATAAATTTATTACACTTATATTTCTAATATGCTTCATCTTCTAGTTATTCCAATCTGGCGTGAAAACTTCCATAACTTTCATATTTTGTTTTAAAAAGTGCATTTTAGTCACTATTCCCTTTCATCCAAGAATGTACGTATGCATAGTTCTCCATTAACATCAAAACATTTTGTAAAATAACTATGTGTGATACTTGTATATTTTCTTTTAGCACTGCCCTCTTTTATAAATATTAATTAAAAAAAAGATAATTTTTATTCTTTTTAATAAAAAGAATTATTTTACAACCTTTTCTTCTAATTTCATAGGCAGTAGTCGCTAATTTTGTAATTCTTTGAACTTAAAGGGCTTTGTAAACTTCTATTAGGAAATTCTTCATTATCCAAATCAATTTCAATATTATTATTTTCTATTGTTTATATTGTTTTCATGATTGTCAAAAAAAAAAATAAAAAGTTAACATTTAATTAAAAAAAATACAAAATGTAAAAATTATGAGTAAAAAAAAATCAATTTATTATTTGAATGCCATAAAAAACTTTAAGAAATAAGAAAATTTAAATCAGGGATAAAAAAATTTTTAAATTTAACGTATAAACAGTAGTCATGTGACTTTATAAAGATATTTTTAGAATNAGCTATGCATAATCTTGGCCTCATATATAAAAATGGAGATGGTGTTGATAAAGATCATCAAAAAGCTTTTGAATTATTCAAACAATCAGCTGAAGGAGGAGATTCAAGTGGAATAATGATGTTAGCTTATTGTTACGATAATGGAATTGGAATTAATATTGATAAACAAAAGGCAGTTGAATTGTATCAGAAAGCTGCAAATTTAGGACATATAACGGCTCAATATAATCTTGCTATTATATATGAAGAAGGAGATGGAATTAAAAAAGATTTAAATAAAGCAATTTATTGGTATGAACAATCTGCTAAACAAGGACATCAAAAAGCTCAAAATATATTAAAAAAACTAAGAAAAATTAGAATTAGGAACAATTTATGATGTAAATTATTTGTACCATTACATAGAAAAATAAACATGGTAATTTTAAACATCAGTATTTATTAATTAAATTATGTAGTATCAAATTTTTATAATATTAAATTGAATATAATGAATGTGTATTCTTGTTAAACACTTAAAATTATTATACCTTTTAAAAAGGAATAAATGATATACTATAAAGTACTTTCATTACTTTTTAACTCAATAGCCAGTAATATATCTTAATTTTTTTAAAAAATTATATAATAATAATTACATTAGTATCTTATTAATACAAAATGATGTATAGATAAAACACTTAATATGCAACCAATAATATTTCCCAAAATTCCAATTTTTTACTTTGACTCAGCTAATTCTATATGGCAATTTTAATTAATCGAGGTAGATCTTTTTTGGCCAAAAGCAGGTTGTCCAAAAATATACTTGAGAATTTGTCGTATCTAAAATGTAAATCTTAACATTTCTTCTATTTGTTGAATCCAGATAAAAAAATCTCATTAGGAGGATAAAATTAGTGTAATTCTATAAATACACAGGTGATCGTGATAAATTGGATCTTTGATAAACCGGATTTGGTGTAGGGTTTCAATCTGTTATCTGAATTAGAATCCGGATTGAAATCTGTATTTCAGATTTAGATCTGGATTAAGACTTGTAATTCGGATTAAAATACAGATTACAGCTGTTTTCATAAGACCTGGGACAAAATAAATTTTTGGACCCGACCACCAACCCACCAATCTGGTTCAGTTGTTATTTGCTTTACAAATCAAATTATCAAATCTGGATTACATGCCTAGCGAAAAATACTGGATCAGCAGGTCAGTGGGTCGGTGGTCGGGTTCAAAAATTTATTTTGTCCCAGGTCTTATGAAAACAGCTGTAAATTATATTGTCCAGATTAAATCTGAATGAGACTTATGATAATTATATATCAATAAATTATTTAATATAAAATATTATATATTATATAAGTTTTTTTTTTATTTTTTAATAAGATTAGTATGCAATATAAATTTATTACACTTATATTTCTAATATGCTTCATCTTCTAGTTATTCCAATCTGGCGTGAAAACTTCCATAACTTTCATATTTTGTTTTAAAAAGTGCATTTTAGTCACTATTCCCTTTCATCCAAGAATGTACGTATGCATAGTTCTCCATTAACATCAAAACATTTTGTAAAATAACTATGTGTGATACTTGTATATTTTCTTTTAGCACTGCCCTCTTTTATAAATATTAATTAAAAAAAAGATAATTTTTATTCTTTTTAATAAAAAGAATTATTTTACAACCTTTTCTTCTAATTTCATAGGCAGTAGTCGCTAATTTTGTAATTCTTTGAACTTAAAGGGCTTTGTAAACTTCTATTAGGAAATTCTTCATTATCCAAATCAATTTCAATATTATTATTTTCTATTGTTTATATTGTTTTCATGATTGTCAAAAAAAAAAATAAAAAGTTAACATTTAATTAAAAAAAATACAAAATGTAAAAATTATGAGTAAAAAAAAATCAATTTATTATTTGAATGCCATAAAAAACTTTAAGAAATAAGAAAATTTAAATCAGGGATAAAAAAATTTTTAAATTTAACGTATAAACAGTAGTCATGTGACTTTATAAAGATATTTTTAGAATCAGGGGACATAAACAAAAAGTGTTGTACACGTAAACAAATTTAAGGTTACACCTGATCCTTAAATTTTATTGGTCATACACGTGTGCGGACAGACAACACTTGCATGGTTTGGAGTAGTATGGAAGTGTCCTACGCTTACGCTTCGGACAATAATCGTGATACCAGATTTTATTAGTAAAGTCGCAATATTTCATAAGTCCTATATCAGTTATATCAAAAAAATTTTGATATATTGAATTTTTCCAAATTTAGCATTAATGTATCCTTTTTAGCATACCTTTATATTATTGTAATTTTAAAAAAATGCTTGATTCCAGCCGAAATGGTTAATTTTTAACAGAATTAAAATTAATAATTTTATACCAAAATTCTTTACGAATATTGCATACAATTTTACCATTCTTTTTTTTTATATTAATAATTTAATCAAAATTTTCATATAAAATCCAGTATAAGAAGATTTTTTGTTATATCGGATATCTTGATATACCGGATATTTTCTCTGGAATAAATCAATCCGATTTATTGTGATCACCTGTGTAATACAAATGTGAAAAACTATATAAATTTACACCACTAGCGATGATGTACGAGTGTGAAAAATTTAGAAAAATTTTCAATAATATAAAATATTAGCGCATTTTTTTAATAGTAAAATATGGCGTAATTATTTAATTATATAAAATCATGTAATATTATAATAATATAAAATCGGTATAATTTATTTATTTATTAAAATGACTAGATAAACGCATTTATATAAGAATAAGATCACATGAAATATTTTAACTGAATCTAAAAGTTAGAAATAACGAAAGTAAAGAAACGATAATTATCCCTAAAAAGACTTATGAACTTACAAAAGAAATACCTATCCAAGTATCCCTAATCTAAGAAAAATATGTAAATGAGAAATGTTAGTGAAACATTTCTAATTAGAAAAAAAGGCAAAAATAAATGAAAGTTTTATAACGAAAATTACAAAACTTACTATTTCTGATTGCTCAAATCAAGAAATCCGAGTATACAAATGAAGAAAAATTTTAGAAAATGCTTCTAATAAAAAAATTAAAAATAAAAAGTTTCTAAGTTATAAATTTGAAACTTACTGCATAGAACAATTCAATGTCAGATCCAATGCCAAAGAAAGTAATGAAAAAATGTTAGCATATCGGCTGATTGGAAAAATCGAGCCAATTAATATTTAAGCTCAGTTGATGGTTCATTATATAACTGATGGGTTACTTATTGTCATTTAGCATATAAAATTATGGGAGGCTTTTCTGATCAGCCGATATGGTAAAAAGTTTCATTAAAAAAGCTTCAAAGTTGGTTATTTTAAACTTACCAAGGTTCCAATGCCAAATCAAATGCCAGTACCTAAAAAAAGAAAAAAGAAACATTAGCAAATGTTTCTACTAAATTTTATAATAAAGCATCACAAAACTTACTGGTTTCGAAATTGAAAAACCTATAGCCAGAATCTAAAAGAAAAAGGGAAATGTTAGCAAATGTTTCTAATTAAAAAATACATAAAAAAACTAAGAATTTATAAAATTTATCATCCCAATTAGTCAAGATCGAAAAACTGAAATCTACAAAAAAGAAAAAAATAAACATTAATAATGTTTCTAATAAAAAAAGTTAAAAAAATTTAAGTTTCATAATGAAACATACAAAACTAAATCATTTCAGTGGACACTTAAAACTTACAAAAAGAAAGTAATGAAACATTACCTACCTTAAAAAAATTGAAAAAAATTTAAGTTCAATTTTTGAAACTTACTCAATGTTCAGTACCGAAGTAAAGCATAAACATTTCTGTAAAAAAAGAATTAAAAAATAAATTGAATTTTATAACTTCGAAACTACTCAAATATCCAATGCAGTTATGCCAAAATTGAAACTGGTGGGAACCTATGTACAAAAAAGAAAGAAAGTCTGAAAAAAAATCAAAGTTTAAAAAAAGTTACGTTAGCGTGATCCTTAATTTATGTTGAAATTTAGGCGAATCACCTGACCGAATTGGCTGAAATTTTGTTAAAGTCAAAAGTTATGATTTCTACTAGTGAATTTTATGTGTAGGTTCTTATATTTAAGAAATTATTCAAGATGTAGATTTCTGAAATTACCTATTCGTGTAGAATCTACGCAACTTTTTAGATACAAAATTATTTACTATTACTAGCTATATTTTCTGTAATAATTTCTTTTTTATTCTTTTTGTATTATATTATTGTTTTTTGGATTATTTAATTTTCCTATATTTTTCCTACCGTTGTTGCGTTCGTTTCAGACTTAAAATCATGCATTTAAGAAATTATTTCAAGATGTGAAAACCTACATAACTTTTAGGATACAAAATCATTAAAGTGTTTTTTAAATCATGTCTTTATATGTAAGTTACTTAAAATCATGTATTTATGAAATTATTTCAAGATGTAAAACTTTCAAACTACCTATTCATGTAGAATCTAAACAACTTTTTAAAATCCGCCTTATTAAATAACTGTTTTTAAGTGTAAATTATGCAAAATATTATATTTATAGATTTTTACGGGGTATAATTTCCAGGTATTACACATATTTGACAATTTTACGTTAATACTAGCCTAATATACTAACCTCCTGATGCTATTTACGAAAGTGGCGTAGTTCAACTGTTTATGATATACTAAATGTAAAATTTTATCTTTAGTTAGCATAATTATCTTGATAAAAACTTTTTTAAATAATAAAACAATAATAGGAAAAACAGTAAATAAAGCACTTAAACACTTTATGTTTGACGCTTAAAAACAATATACGCTGCATGTTTGCGCTCATTACGCTCATCATTATTTTTAAAATTAGTAATTTAGTTAGATATGGTTTTTTTCAAATATTTTATTAAGCAAAAAATTATTTTCATACCATAAAATTGTTAAGCCCAGACTCCGGAGCAATAATTTATTTATTTAACACGTGACAAGACCATCTTAGATCATTGTGTTACTCAGTGGTCCCGGAGACCCGGACTAATCAAATTTTATATTATATGATACTGAGTAATAACTAAACTAATTTTAATTGTGTAGTCACTTATAAGATACTAATTATTTCTCATAAAAAAGTAATTCATCAAACAAGAACTAGGTTTATTGAGAAACTAGAAGGTTCTTTATCATGACAGCAATGCATAATTATGTTCAAATCTGATATATTTGTAATAAAATTGAAGCATGAATGTTTCTATACACAATTTTAATCCAGACACTACATTCTAATGCTCACAGCTTCACAATGTACATTTCATATTATAAATAAGATGGGATGAAATAATTTGATAATTTTTTTGATATTTTTTTTTTCTTTTTTAATAGAATCTGTTTGATGTATTTGAAAATTTTTTTAATAGTATTGATATCCATTTGATAGTTTTTTTGATAACTGAAGGTCTATCTGAAAAAAAAAAGTTTAATACTACGTATCTCTAAACTTTTATTTAAATCTCAGACTATTTCTCTATACTTGAAAATTTTCTTTATCTAAGTATTGTTAACATTGTTTAATTTGGATTCAGATCAAATCGTCATATTTTTTTTCAAAATTAAAATTAATCATAACCATAAATTTAATGTAACTACAATTTATTAAGATGAAATATTGAACATTTTCTTTTGCAAAAAGAAGAATAAAATGCATTGATTTTTAAGATAAATTTTTTACAAAAAAGAGAAAAAGATAAATCCAAAATGGAAATTGATTTCCAATTTTTTTAATAAAATTGAGACGAATCTTTTTTTCTTACAAAAAGAAAAAGTGATAAACCAATGATCTTTAAATTTTATTTTATCTCAAAAATAGAAAAGGATAAAGTAAAAATAGCAAGTGATTTCCTTTTTAAACAAAAAAAAAAAAAAAAATTAAAGAAGGTTAGTTTCATCTATACTAACACTGTCTCTTATACACATCTAGATGTGTATAAGAGACAGGCATAGAACAATTCAATGTCAGATCCAATGCCAAAGAAAGTAATGAAAAAATGTTAGCATATCGGCTGATTGGAAAAATCGAGCCAATTAATATTTAAGCTCAGTTGATGGTTCATTATATAACTGATGGGTTACTTATTGTCATTTAGCATATAAAATTATGGGAGGCTTTTCTGATCAGCCGATATGGTAAAAAGTTTCATTAAAAAAGCTTCAAAGTTGGTTATTTTAAACTTACCAAGGTTCCAATGCCAAATCAAATGCCAGTACCTAAAAAAAGAAAAAAGAAACATTAGCAAATGTTTCTACTAAATTTTATAATAAAGCATCACAAAACTTACTGGTTTCGAAATTGAAAAACCTATAGCCAGAATCTAAAAGAAAAAGGGAAATGTTAGCAAATGTTTCTAATTAAAAAATACATAAAAAAACTAAGAATTTATAAAATTTATCATCCCAATTAGTCAAGATCGAAAAACTGAAATCTACAAAAAAGAAAAAAATAAACATTAATAATGTTTCTAATAAAAAAAGTTAAAAAAATTTAAGTTTCATAATGAAACATACAAAACTAAATCATTTCAGTGGACACTTAAAACTTACAAAAAGAAAGTAATGAAACATTACCTACCTTAAAAAAATTGAAAAAAATTTAAGTTCAATTTTTGAAACTTACTCAATGTTCAGTACCGAAGTAAAGCATAAACATTTCTGTAAAAAAAGAATTAAAAAATAAATTGAATTTTATAACTTCGAAACTACTCAAATATCCAATGCAGTTATGCCAAAATTGAAACTGGTGGGAACCTATGTACAAAAAAGAAAGAAAGTCTGAAAAAAAATCAAAGTTTAAAAAAAGTTACGTTAGCGTGATCCTTAATTTATGTTGAAATTTAGGCGAATCACCTGACCGAATTGGCTGAAATTTTGTTAAAGTCAAAAGTTATGATTTCTACTAGTGAATTTTATGTGTAGGTTCTTATATTTAAGAAATTATTCAAGATGTAGATTTCTGAAATTACCTATTCGTGTAGAATCTACGCAACTTTTTAGATACAAAATTATTTACTATTACTAGCTATATTTTCTGTAATAATTTCTTTTTTATTCTTTTTGTATTATATTATTGTTTTTTGGATTATTTAATTTTCCTATATTTTTCCTACCGTTGTTGCGTTCGTTTCAGACTTAAAATCATGCATTTAAGAAATTATTTCAAGATGTGAAAACCTACATAACTTTTAGGATACAAAATCATTAAAGTGTTTTTTAAATCATGTCTTTATATGTAAGTTACTTAAAATCATGTATTTATGAAATTATTTCAAGATGTAAAACTTTCAAACTACCTATTCATGTAGAATCTAAACAACTTTTTAAAATCCGCCTTATTAAATAACTGTTTTTAAGTGTAAATTATGCAAAATATTATATTTATAGATTTTTACGGGGTATAATTTCCAGGTATTACACATATTTGACAATTTTACGTTAATACTAGCCTAATATACTAACCTCCTGATGCTATTTACGAAAGTGGCGTAGTTCAACTGTTTATGATATACTAAATGTAAAATTTTATCTTTAGTTAGCATAATTATCTTGATAAAAACTTTTTTAAATAATAAAACAATAATAGGAAAAACAGTAAATAAAGCACTTAAACACTTTATGTTTGACGCTTAAAAACAATATACGCTGCATGTTTGCGCTCATTACGCTCATCATTATTTTTAAAATTAGTAATTTAGTTAGATATGGTTTTTTTCAAATATTTTATTAAGCAAAAAATTATTTTCATACCATAAAATTGTTAAGCCCAGACTCCGGAGCAATAATTTATTTATTTAACACGTGACAAGACCATCTTAGATCATTGTGTTACTCAGTGGTCCCGGAGACCCGGACTAATCAAATTTTATATTATATGATACTGAGTAATAACTAAACTAATTTTAATTGTGTAGTCACTTATAAGATACTAATTATTTCTCATAAAAAAGTAATTCATCAAACAAGAACTAGGTTTATTGAGAAACTAGAAGGTTCTTTATCATGACAGCAATGCATAATTATGTTCAAATCTGATATATTTGTAATAAAATTGAAGCATGAATGTTTCTATACACAATTTTAATCCAGACACTACATTCTAATGCTCACANAAGCTATGCATAATCTTGGCCTCATATATAAAAATGGAGATGGTGTTGATAAAGATCATCAAAAAGCTTTTGAATTATTCAAACAATCAGCTGAAGAAGGACATCTAAATGGAGTGATAATGTTAGGAAACTGTTATTATTTTGGAATTGGAATTAATTTTGATAAACAAAAAGCTGTTGAATTATATCAGAAAGCTGCAAATTTAGGACATAAGGTAGGTCAATATAATCTTGCTATTATATATGAAGAAGGAGACGGCATTGAAAAAGATTTAGATAAAGCAATTTATTGGTATAAACAATCAGCTAAACAAGGACATCATAATGCTCAAACTAGATTAGAAGAACTCAAGAAAAATTAGAATTAAAAACAAAGTTATGATGGAAATTATTTAAAAAAAATTTTTTTTTTATTGTATTTATAATTGTACTATTACATAGGAAAATAAACACGGTAATTTTAAACATTAGTATCTATTAAATTACGTAGTATTAAATTTTATAATATTAAATTTTATATAATAAATGTGTATTCTTGTTAAAGTTAAACATTAAACACTTAAAACCTTAAAAAAAAAATTGTTTAGCCTTAATTAAATATTAATTATTTTTTGAATTTTTTGAGGAAATCTCCTGACAACATTTCTTTATAAAGTACTACTTCATTACTCTTTAACTGAATAGCCGGTTAACATAAAGTATCTTTAATTTTTTTTAAAAATTATTATATCACAATAATCACATTAGTATCTTAATACAAAATGATGTAAAGATAAAGTGCAACAATAGTATTTCCCAAAATTCTAATTTGACTCAGCTAATTCTATAAGGCCGGTTGAATTAATCGAGGTAGATCTTTTGGCATGGAATATTGAATCTAAGGATTGCAAATTAATTATTATATATATAATTTTTAAGTGTAATTTGTGTAATATATTGTATTAATATTAATATTTACATCTGTAAATGCCGCTTCTTTATTATTCCATCCCTGAATTTGGTAAATAATTGCAACACCTTCTTCGCTTGTTGGTGGGTATTCAACTGGTGTTAATGAGTGAATAATTGTTTTAACAGTCATAGACTTTGTAATATATATTTCATCATCCTTAGGTTCAGGTGGAGATATATTATTTGGCTAAATTATACAATATAACGGTGTATTACTACTATGTAGTTTACTTAATAATTATACGTTTAAAATTATATTACCTCTATATTAAGGTCCTCTTCATAAACAATATCTTCTTCATTAACAAAATTAGTATCCATAGATGATAATTATTTCTTTAAAAACAATTTGTTTAACGTGAACTTTGATAAAAGGTATTTTGACACGAAAGTTTATTGTAAATGATTATTTCTTTAAAAATCAAATTGCTTTGATAAAAGGTATCTTGACACGAAAATTTTTTGTAGATGAAAAGTGTTTAACACGAGTTTCGATAAAAGGTATCTTGACACGAAAAATTTTTTTACTATTATTACGAAATTCAGAGTAGGCTGAGCTGTTATTCATCACCTAAGTATACTTCACACACACCTCTTATGTTATATACTGCTAAATGTTACCATACTTGACTGGTCTTTTATATAACATAACCTCATACTACGCTACAATTTCTTGTGCCAGTTAAGGTTAGTAATATTGCATCTTTGGCTAAATTTTTGTCCCATTGCTTGATCACGTGATCACACGGATATATTTTTGATTGGGTTAAAGCACATGACAGAAGCAGAAAAACTTCTGATTGGTCTGTCCACTTAGGGTTAAGACCTACGCGCTTAGGGTGTTATGGTTAGGGTTAGGATTATTGTGATATTAGGAGATTTGTAAAATTTTCTGAAGTGAAAAAATGCAAAAAAATATAAAAATTTTTTATTTACATTTTGTATTCTATATATAATTACATTTTCATTCTATAGTAATAAAGTATACATTATACGCAGTGCAGTCTTTAAAAAAAATATACATTGAATATTTATACTTTTCCCATTAATCAGTAATAAATCACTAATCATCGTTACATCTTCCATTTATCAATCAAAGACTCTCCCTTATTCTGTTTAAATATAATAGGTAAAAAAGATTTTATTTCATCTTTCCTAACCAATTCGTTCTCACCAAAGGTGCTCCAGTATCTATCTAATGGCCAAGGTCGTGTATAAAGTACTTTAAATAGTCGTTTATTAATTTCATTATCAAACTCAAACGCTTCAACACCTCGAATATACATAATATTAGCTTTTTCTCCCGGTCTCGATCGTGTAGATATATAATCTATGCTTTTTATTTCTGATGTTGCTTTGTATGGGAGTTCTCCCTGATGAAAATCAGCATAGATACCTAGAACCTTATAATCTTTCTGCCGTATACCAACACTTGCTGGATTTGTTAATGCGAAATTGTCTACCGATTTATAGGTTGATTGTTTTGCATTCTTGTTTTGAATTAAAATGACGCCATAATCAGAAGAGTATTTAAATGGAATGACATGATCGATATCTTTGAACCCAAATGGCATCCTGATGGCAGCATGGCGGTGATAAGCTTCTTTGACAAGATCCTCCGTTAGGAATTTATTCCCTTCAGATTCATTCACATAATCCATATTGGTAGCCAGCAAAGATATCCAATGATTAAATCCAACTTTTGCATCATTTATTTTCAATTCGTCAAGAAGCATACTATGGCCATCAATTTTTTCTAAAAATAATTTTAAGGGAATTTTCTCCAAATATGTAGCTGATCCTAAAAATATTTCTCTCGCAACAACTGCATATCTCATCAAAAAGAGGATGCGATTGACAAGTTCTCCTCTTTCTCCCACTTCTACTACCCCACGACTGAGCAGTTCCACCAATGTGTCCAAGCAGTTTTCCCAACCAACATTAATGATTCCTTTTAGAGCACCAGATGCAAGGATAGCATCAGAAGGATATGTGCAAAGAATGCTTGTACGATCAGGTGAAATCCCTATAGCAGTAGCCATATGGGATGCTATCAGATTGTCTACTTCTGCAATTCGAGGAGAAACTTCAAGAGCCAGGGTGCAAGATATACATGCAAGATTAGCAATATAATCATCCTTCTTTTTGCTAAAGTTGCGGATCTTCTCTGAAGCTAGAAGAATAAGATCTTTAAGACTTTCTCCGGCTTGAGCAAGAGAACCCCAAAGGGGAGTTCCTAGATATACAGCCCTTTTAAGATCGTAATCTTTATCAAAGTTTTCTTTACCAACGTTTTCAACAAGTAATGCTAACACGTCCGTGGTACTTACATCTAAATACGCAGGAAATATTTGGAAATTAGTTGTTCTGGCAGATACGGTATCTTTTATCGTTGGAGGAAGGAAATTGCCAATCTTCCCATTTGTGCTGAGAACAACATTAAAGAATCCTTTCCATGAAATTTTCTTAATTTGTCGTCTCCATTTAACAAAGCAGGTTTCGCCACTATTTCTCTGCGTAATTAATTCATGTGCCTCGTCAATACAACAAACTACAGAGATACCTATTTGGGGAAATAAATCCTTAACAAATTCTTCGTTATTGCATTTTGATTGTGAAGATTCAAGATCCAACGATCCCAAAACTACATTCCAGAATTCCTCACATTCGTGATCACCTTTAACTTGAATATCCCAAAACTCCTCTGCGCTCCATCCTTTGTTTTTAATTTCTTCGATTGCGCCACACAAAAGAGCCCCAAATTCATCATCCCGAATTGTATCCAGAACTTTTTGAGCAAAAGGTGTTGATTTGGGGTATCCAGTACTATCCTCACTACGTTTACAGATGTACAAGACATAGATCCCCTTGGTTCTCAATTCCGCCACAAGCCGCGTTTTACCGGAACCGGAGCTTTGTATGATTGCTAAATAAGGGACGTATCTGCTATCTGACAACCAAATTTCATGAAAAAAGTTTAGCCGAATGTAAAATTTTTCCAGAACAGTGCCTTGGTATTTAGTTTGGAATGCTTTTTCAATTCTTTTCGATTCAATATTATCTGTAAAAAATAATAATATATACAGTATAATGAGAAAATAAATAATGATTTATAAATGCAGAACACTAACAGTTTGTACTATGCATTCTTACTCATTTTTTTTCTACTTGATGTGCTCTTGTTATCTAATGATAGCAAGTAAATAAAATGTCAGAATTGTATTTAATATATTTAATATTCGAATCCAACCATGGTATACATACCATTTTTTTTGTTTACAATAATAACCTCTAATTTCATACCATACAGAACATCAATAGAAATAGCGGGATCCAAGAATTCCGTTTCATTTCTATTGCGAAGGAAGACCATCTCATAGGAATAATCGCTGAGGGTATTAAAACTATCTTTGATTTCTCTTCTAAGACCATCTACGTCATAAATTCCCTTTGAATCGCAATCTTCTTTTCTAAAGGTGAGACTAAATTCTTCATAATAAACCCATATTTTCTTAACTTTTTTAGCTAGATAGAATGTGAGTAAAGAGTATTAAGACATTTCGTGATAAAATTCGTATATGGGCCAAAACAATTAACTACCTTCTTCGAGCTTCACCTTTTTGTTTGGACGGTCTAAAAAGAAGAAAGTGCGCAAGTAAATAAAATGTCAGAATTGTATTTAGATTTTGAAATATTCGAATCCCATACAATTTTCTTTGTCTACAATAACATCTAATTCCATAAATTCCATACTATATAGATTATCAATAGAAATAGTGGGAGCTAAGATTTCTGTTTCATTTTTTTTGCGAAGGGAGAGCATATCATTAGTATAATTGCTGAGGCTACTCAATCTATCTCTGATTTCTCTTTTAAGATCATCTACGTCACAAATTCCCTTTGATTCCAACTCTTCTTTACTAAAGGCAATGGGACATCGATCATAACAAACCCATATTTTCTTTTCAGCTAGATAGTATGTGAGTAAAGAGTATTAAGACATTTCGTAATAAAATTCGTGTAGAAGTAACGAAAAGATGGGACTACGAAGATATGAAAAGAATATGATACAGCGCAGGAAGCATATTATACTTACGAGCGATGGTGGGTGTGGTGTAGTCGATGGCGATGATGTGGATCTTATTTGGCATAAAATTGAGACTATTAAGTTCATCTTGAATATATACTTCTAACATATCACTAGGTGTCATTTCTTTTCCGCCGAGTTTGATAATGTCATCTTTAGTAGAAATTTTTTTATTTTCGATATCAGCAGTATCGAGATTAACTTTCCAAAGTTTCGTATCGTAGTGTTCATAGATAAGGTCCCTTAAAAGCATAATCGTTATTTGGTCTAACTGGATTAGATGTCCATGAAGTTGGACGATCTTTTTATCTGCATTTTTGTAGATAGGAATTGCTTTGAAACTTCTAGTGTTTGCTTTTACGTTTACAAGTAAACAAGTAAGCGCTCGATCCATTAGGAGATACTGCTATAAATGTGATAAATAAGTAAGTTAAAAAGAAGAAAAAAGGTTGAAGAAAGAAATTTGAAAGCGTTTTTGAGGGCATTACATCGTGATTCATAATAAACTCTTGATCAGTGTTATCAGTGTTTGATACTCCGAAAAAAATATCAATCAATTTATCAGTAGATTTATATGAAAAAAATCAGAGTATTGGCTAACCGTTACGCAATTTTTCGGTCGTGACCGTATTTGGGCAATAATCCTTTTGTATCACATCAATTTTTTTATAGTACATAAAAAATCGAATGAGTCAGATTTATTGTCCGAAAGGACTAATTTGATTTAGCCCCCGTTTTTGTCGAATACACTAGTGTAACCAACACTATTAATATTCGTAACACGCGAGGTGGTGTGGTAAGATTATACCACTACCTATATGACCCCCTGAAATATGGCACTATAAGCACGTAGATCACGTAACACTTTGCGAGATGCAACGCGAAGGACTTAAACGGTTTCCGTTTTCCTAGTTTTTAATGAAATGGATAAACAAAAAGGCAAAAGAAAATTAAAAGAGGAGGCGCTAAATTAATCAAAATTCGAAATCAACCCCGGGACTCCCCGCCAACCCGGAAATAAAAAAAAAGAGGTAATGAAAACGAACATAAAACAATCGAAAAAAAATCAATTAAACGACCCATATAAGGAGATGTCTATGATGTAGGATAGAGGTGATTTTGATATTACTATTGAAAAAAAAAATAGGCTCATAAAAATAAAAATTAAAAATTAACCCAAAAACTGGAAGTTTATAATTTGAAACAGTGATCGGGTATTAAAATATCTCCTTTGAGATATGAATTATGTGATTCTGAGTCACCAAATCAAATTAAACCGTATCGGCGTATGACGTGAATCGCCGTATTCGCCATAAAATTTTCCACACCACGTGACTTGGGTGGCGCGGTGTTTATATTTGACTTAGTGTCCCGTGAACGGATAATCCGTAAGTTCTTTCACAAATCCAGATTTGTGATCCGTAAAATCCGGATAAATCATAGTATTTATATGAGTGTAATTTCAGGACTTTAGTTAAATGTAATAGGTTTAGGTAGCATAGGCTAAGTTGTTTAGCAGGTATGGAACCACTCAAATATTAATTTTTATCGAGATATCTTTAATATTTGCAATAATATGATATTTTTGTATGGAAACTACTGTGCCGCACGCGGTTGATTTTTTCACTTTACAGCGTAATTTTGGTACTTCTGTTAAATGAAACAAGCCTTTAGAGATTAAGTAAAGTTATTAGCAGGTGTAGGATTACTTAAATATTGATTTTTATTAAATTAGCTTTAATATTTATGGAATAATTAGCATTTTTTACAATAGTGTACTTGACTCAATTGACTCTAAATATCAATAAATATTTATTTGTTTATTAAAATTAAATTTGATAAAGTGAGAAGAATTATTTCCACGCTAAAAGGTCTTAGGAAATGTGTTCCTAATTATAAAGGAGGGTAGGGCAAGAGGCTCATGGCATTGCGAAGCAATGTGTTCCTAATTTTATTCACAGAATTTTCACGGTGTAGTAGGTTATTCGAGACATTCTCTCATCATGAGCATAACGGGAAAATATCAGTTTTTCTTTTTTTTTTTGACTTTTTCAACTTTTTTTTCGATTTTTTTTTTCCTAAGATAAACGTTATAATAAATGCGAAATAAACATTGCGCCAATTAAAATTCAGACGCTACAAAATCACGTGGGGTGAAAAAATTTTATGGCGATACTGGGTAGTTCCGGATACCCGTCAACTAAAAAAAAATCTATCCGGATATCCATTTTTATCGGATATCCTTTAGCTTAACCGGATATGCTGAATCCGGATACAATCACTAGAAAGACTAATACGGGACATCTTAGAATACTGTAATTAAAGAGTATTGCGAGCTGCTGTGAACTTTCTGTGTTATTCAGCAGTCCTGAACTAATCAAATTTTATATTTCTGAAAATATGATACTGAGTAATAACTAAACTAATTTTAATTGCGTAGTCACTTATGAGATACTAATTAATTTTCATAAAAAAGTAATTCATCAAACAAGAACTAGGTTTATTGAGAAACTAGAAGATTTTTTATCATGACAACTGAAGCAATGCATAATTATGTTTAATTCTGATATATTTATAATAAAATTGAAGCATGAATATTTCCTATACACAATTTTAATTCAGACACTACATTTTAATGCTCACAATATACAGTCTGTATATTGTGACTAGGGATTGGGATTGGTTCGTCAGTTCTATTTCTCGTCGGTTCCGCTTCGGTTCTCATTAAGTAAAATATGAGCTACATGCGTCAAATTTAAGACGCAGATAGAGCATGTGATGAAGATCGAATAGAAAAATTTAGATTGGTCATCAAACGATGGTTTGTCCGTGATCGTTATAATTTTGATGACAACCCGATTTGCTCCAAACCGGTTCGGAGCCGGTTCTGGTTCGATTTTTAGAACAGTTCCCGGAGTGTTTCGTGTTCAGGAATCTGCTAAAATTAGAATCGGTTCCAGAATCCAGAGCCGGTTCAGAACCGCTATGTTTTGAACTTCCCCCATCTCTATATACAGTTCATATTATAAATAAGATAGGATGAAATGATTTGATAATTATTTTGATGCAATCCATTTGATATTTTTTTTCTGTTTTAATAGAACTGTTTTTATTTTGGTGTATTTGAAATTTTTTTAATAGTATGATATCCATTTGATAGTTTCTTTGATAACTGATGGTCTATATGAAAAAAAAAGTTTAATACTGCGTATCTCTAAAACTTTTATTTAAATTAATATTATTTAATTTAGAAATCAAGAAATAATAAATTCATTGTTCTCTTCCTTTTTTTACTAAGATCTTTTTCGTATCTTTTCTAAATTAAAATTAATCGTAATAACTACTATAAATTTAACGTAACATTAAGATGAACCATTGAAAAGTTTCTTTTGCTAAGAATAAAATGTATTAATTTTTAAAATTTTTAAGATAAATTTAATTTACAAAAAAGAGAAAAAGATAAATCCAAAATGGAAATTGATTTCCAATTTTTTTTTAATAAAAATTGAGACGAATCTTTTTTCTTACAAAAAGAAAAAAATGATAAATCAATGATCTTTAAATTTTATTTTATTTCAAAAATAGAAAAGGATAAATTAAAAATAGCAAGTGATTTCCTTTTTAAACAAAAAAAAATTTAAAAGAAGGTTAGTTTCATCTATACTAACAATATATAAAGTTCCTACGTTCAAATTGGTATCCAAATTATTCATGATTTTTATGATGATCATATCCTGAAATGTATTAAATTGTTTACGTGTAAATATATTAACAATTAATCTTTTTTTACACTATGTCACACGAGTGATTGTATGATTTACACAAATCCATAAATAGAATTTTTTTTTTTTTCCAGACTTCCACCGCAAAAAATTTTTATTCTTATTTCATCTATTATTTCTAATAATAAAAAATAATAACAAAAATGCAAAATAACGAAAATATAAATTGGATTGAGGAAGCTATTATTAAACAACATATTAAATATTATGAGTATGAAAATTTTAAAAATATTCAAGAAGTTGGTTCCGGAGCATTCGGAAAGGTTTTTCGTGCAAATTGGAAAAATTTTGGTCATTATTTAGCATTAAAATCATTTTATAATCTAAACGATATTACCTTAAAAGAAATTGTTAATGAAGTAATCAAATATTTTAATTTCATTTTTTTTAAAAAAATTATTTTTTCGTATACTCTTTTTCATATTTTACTTATTTATTTTCTTAATTTTCTAATTATTATGCGTTACAATTTAGCTTAAACTTCAGCGAGAAGTAGATTTTCATGACAATATTATTCGCTTTTATGGAATCACAAAATTTGAATCAGGTATTTGTAAATATCTATATATCAAGCATAACAAATAAAATTAGGGTTATTTAATTTTTTTTCTTTTTGTAAAAACTAATAATCGATTCTTACTTTTTTTATTAGAAAATAAAATTGACCAAACAAAGAATTATTTGTTAGTAATGGAATACGCTAACGGTGGTACCCTTCGTGACTATTTAAACGAAAACTTCAATAGACTTAGTTGGGATGATAGGTATAATTTAGCTCATCAATTAGCTTGTTCTGTATTATGTCTACATGATGAAGGGATCGTTCACCGAGATTTGGTATTTTTTTTAATAAAATATTTAAAATACTTTACGAACTAAATTAATATTATTTATATATTATAATAGCATTCTTGTAATGTGTTGGTTCATAAGAAATCCATCAAGTTGGCGGACTTTGGATTATCAAAAAGAATTGATGAAGCATCGAATTCACAATCAAAGTTACTTGGTATGGTTCCCTATATTGATCCGAAAGTATTAATGAATAGCAATAATTTAAAATTAAATGAGAAGAGCGATGTATATAGTATTGGCGTTTTATTATGGGAAATATCAAGTGGGAAACCACCATTTCATGAAGAGAAAAATAAGATCGGCTTAATCTATGACATTTCACAAGGACGAAGAGAAAAAATTATTCCTAATACTCCTAATGATTATTCAAATCTTTATATTGGTAAATGTTGTTTCATTATATTATTTGTTTTACTCATTAAAGTCATTATTTTAACCAAATTCTTTAATTATTAGAATGTTGGAATAATGAACCAAGTAAACGACCAAATATGCATGAGGTTGTTAATAGAATAGGAGTATTTATTCCAGATTCAAATAGCACAACAATTGATCAACAGAATGACATATCTGATCAAACTTATCCTACGCCAAATGAAAATCCAACTCCAAATAGTGCAGGAAATTCATCACATGGGGAATTATCCCAAATGATCCAAAATTTCACTAATATGAATACAAGTGAAATAGATAGTATGTCTACAAATGAACAAATTAATGAAAATATTTCGTCCGAGAATTATTTTAGCATTGTGATTAACGAAATAGTTGATCTCATTTTTAAAGAAAACATTAAAGATAATATGAAGGTAAAACAGCATGTTATTGATTATTTGAATAATCATAATGTAAATTCTAAAGAAATTTATAATTGGTTATTAAATAATCAAAACAATTCAGAATCTATTTTTTTACTTGGTTATTTTAATTATTTAGGAATTGAAACAATTAGTGATCTTGAGAAAGCATTTAATTTATTTATTAATGCATCAAAACAGGATCATACATTAGCACAATATTTTGTTGGAAAATGTTATCAATTTGGAAATGGAATTACAAAAAATGAAAAACTTGCATTTGAATATTATGAAAAAGTATCTAGTAAAGATTATGCAAGTGGACAATTTAAATTAGGTTGGTTTTATGATATTGGGATAAGTGTCAATAAAGATTTAAAAATGGCTGTGTATTGGTATGAAAAAGCTGCAAATAATGGACATTTAAATGCTATGCATAACCTTGGCCTCTCATATAAAAATGGAGATGGTGTTGATAAAAATAATCAAAAAGCTTTTGAATTATTCAAACAATCAGCTGAAGGAGGACATTCAGATGGAATAACGATGTTGGCTTATTGTTATGATAGTGGAACTGGAATTAATATTGATAAACAAAAGGCAGTTGAATTATATCAGAAAGCTGCAAATTTAGGACATAAGGTAGGTCAATATAATCTTGCTATTATATATGAAGAAGGAGAAGGAATTGAAAAAGATTTATATAAAGCAATTTATTGGTATGAACAATCAGCTAAACAAGGACATCAAAATGCTCAAACTAGATTAAAAGAACTGAAGAAAAATTAGAATTAGAAACAAATTTATGATGTAAATTATTTTAAGAAAAATTTTTTTTTATTGTATTTATAATTGTACCATTACATAGGAAAATAAACACAGTAATTTTAAACATTAGTATTTATTAAATTACGTAGTATCAATTTTTATAATATTAAATTGAATAATATAATAAATGTTGTATTCTTGTTAAACGCTTAAAATTATTGTACCTCTTAAAAAGGAATAAATGATTAAAAGTTGTTGAGAAAATTGTTTAGCTTTAATTAAATATTAATTATTTTTTGAGAAAATCTCCTGACAAAATTTCTTTATAAAGTATTTCATTACTTTTTAACTATAGCAGGTTAACATATCTTCAATTTTTTAAAAAAATTATTACATCATAATAATCACATTAGTATCTTAATACAAAATGATATAAAGATAAAACACATAATATGCAATCAATAATATTTCCCAAATTCCAATTTTTTACTTTGACTCGGCTAATTCTATAAGGCCGTCGAAGTAGATCTTTTGGCCAAAAGCAGTTATCCAAAAATATACGTTACCTCCATTTGTTGAACCCAGATAAAAAAATACATTTAACGAAAGTGGTGTAGTTAAAATGTAAAATTTTATCTTTATTAGCATAATTATCTTAAGTTTACTTCAACATTTAGTCGATAAAAACTGAAACAATAATAGTAAAAACGAGAAGTCCTATAATAATCGATAATGATACCATGACAGTAAAGCATTTGATGTTTGACGCTTATAAGCAATATACGCTGCATGTTTGCGCTCATTAAATCGCTTATCAGTATTTTTAAAAATTAGTAATTTGGTTAGGTATGCGCCTTTTTTCAGGGGTTTTAATAAAATTTTCATGCCATAAAATTGTTAAGTCCGGACTCACGAAGCAATAATTTATTATTTAACATGTGACAAGACTAATATGGGGACATCTTAGATCATTGTGTAATTAAATGTTAATCAGCAGTCCGGGACCAATTAAATCTTATATTATATGATACTGAGTAATAACCAAACTAATTTTAATTGTGTGGACACTTATGAGATCCTAATTATTTTTCAAAAAAAAGTAATTCATCAACTAGGGTGGCGTAGGAATCTAGTTGGCACACCCTTTTTATTTTTCAGTTAATATGTTATTTATTATGAGTTGTGTATTTATGTTTTTGTTTGTAATATATCGAGAAAATAATTTTTTTATAGATTTTTTTCATGTATTTGATTATATTAAAGAAAAACTTTTTTAACTTATATATTTATTTGTATTACTATTTAATGATAAATTAATAATTTATTTATTATTAATAAATTTAATTTATACTTATTTTTATATATTAAAGATCAATTTTATTTGGTATAATTATATAATTTAATATTAAATTGGTAAAGGATTTTGAGCTAGTATTTCAAGATGTTCATATTCTTTAATTACATCTGGGTCTGTTTTAAAAGCAGCTTTATCAAGTGCTGCTATTTGTATGTTATCCCAGTTAGGACATCGGCTTAAAACAGTATATGCTTGACCAGGTGCAAATATTTGTTCATCTAAACTAATAGTTATATAGTATAAAGTAAAACCTTGAGTTTTATGAACAGTTAAAGCATAAAAATTTTTTACGGTGTAAAGGAAGGGCTTCAATTTCTTCAGGGATTTTCGCTAATATTGGAAATTGTAATCTATTTCTTGGGCGTGGACAAGAAAAACATGTGGGAATTTTAAGGATTCCGCATCTGATTGTAGCATAAGTTAATACACTAATTTCATTTGATTCTTCTATTGGATAAAGATCTGATGAAGGGCTGTATTGAATCCAAGTAGCTTTATCTTTATATAATAATTTTCCACAGTAAACACAAGGAGTATTGGGATATTCTTTGAAAAAAGTAGATTGAAATTTAGAGTATATACTGTACGTTGAAAAGACTGGTTTGGTCTCCATAAATTAGGAGTAAAAGGGGTAATTTGAATTTGTTGAGAGTTATTTGTTTGATCAGGGGAAAATAATATTTCTTCTGATGTGTTATTAGAAGTAATTGAAAATGGATCAATTATATTTTCGTAGGAAGGTCTATGTAATATTCATTGTATATAAAATTAGACATGGTTATTTAAAAAAGTAATGTAAAAAAGAATAAGATTTTATGTTGATATTATTTTTTTTTATTATTTATTATATTTATTATTTGTTATTATATTGTAATAAATTAAAATAATTATATGTAAATAACTGATAAGGAATTTTTATTTTTGTATATTTTTTTTTTCGTATATATAGTATATTTTTTATAGTTAGATAATTATTATTAATAAAAATTAATTAGATAATAATTATTAGTAAAAATTAATTAGATAATAATTATTAGTAAAAAATAATTAGATAATAATTATAAAAATGAATATTAATAATAAAATTTACTAATGAATGATTATTTAATAAAAGTTATATATGTAAATTAGTTTTTTTAGTTTGGGAAAAATTATATATTTTTTTTGATTGTTGTACGATTTTTTATTTTTTTTTTATTAATAGAATTAGATGATAATTATAATAAAAAATATTAATAATAAAATTTAGTAATAAATGATTATTTAATAAAATGTTAACGTTATATATGTAAATTTTTTCAATTGAATAAGATTAGAGAGAAATTTTAATATTATATGCAAATTAGTTTTTTAGTTAAAAAATATATAGAGAGAAATAAATTTATTGATTAATTATGATAAAAGGAACAATACAAAAATATTTTAAAAGAATTGTTAAAATAATTAATATCATCAAAAATAATTGTATAAAAATAAAACAAATTGATATTATATAAATTTATATTACTGTATAATTACGACTTTCTTGTTTTTTTATTCTTATTTCTATTATTATTTCGATATTTTGATGGGAAATCATCATTATTGTCTATATTTTCGTCATCATTATTATTAGAATTCGATATTCTTTTATTCCTCTTATTATTATTATTATCATCATCATAATTTGATGGAAGATCATCATCGTTATTTATATTTTACTATTAATATCATTATTAGAATTTGATATTTCTTCTAATGTAGTATCAGTAAGAGTTTCAGTCCGATTATTAGTTATTGATTGAGCTGATAATCTTTTTGAAGATGTTGTTGATCAAGTGTATAGAGAAGAAATTGAATCATCTGTTGAATTTCCAATATTTGTATTCATCATAGTAATAAAATTTATATCCTGAATTTCGATTTGACATTCTGAATCAACAAAAATCATTTCTCCCAACATCATTACATTTGAATTTTTTCTGATTTTTTTCACTTTATTATCAATTGCTTTTAAGTATCTACATTTTATATTAATTTTGTCAGCAACATTTCCCTTTCCAACAAATTCATTAACATTAAGTTTGATACTTTTAAATAAATCATCATCATCTTGTACTTGTCTTATAATGTAACCAATGAAAAAAACGGAGATTGAACTAATCGGAAGATTATCTTTCGTAAGGTTCAACATTAGCTGTCATCTAGTTTATTTTTTATTTTTATTTTTTATTTTTTTTTTAAAAAAAAAGAATCAATAATTATTTTTATCTCGGGTATTATTTTTTTTTTTTTTTTTNGAGGAAGCTCTTCATTAAGAGAAAATTTTCCTGTAAACCTAACTACATCGCCAGATGCAAAATCGGGAATCCATTTCGGAACTGATGGATTTTTTGGAAAAAAGGCAATTATTTTTATATTCATTGTTGTATTATCTTCTTTTCTCATAATACCAATAGTTTCTTTTATAATAAAATTATTACTTTCTCATTCAACAATTGAATGAATTAAACAAATTAAAGTGAGTTTTGCTGGCATAGTATTTATTTATTTTTTTTTTATTTATTATGTAGAGAAATAGATATTTTTTTTTTTTATTTTCTTAAACGATATTTTTTTTTCTTTTCAAAAAAAAAATAGATATTTATTATTAAATATTTTTTTTTAAGAGTTAAAAAATGAAGTCAATATTTCTTCATAAAAAATAAAATCATTTTTACTTTTTATGATCAAATATTTACGTTTATTTATTTTTATAGATATATTATTTATTTGTTTATTTAATCTTATAACATTTCTCCGAATTTTTTTAACTTTAAATGGGAAATTTTGATTACATAATGATTGACATTTACCGTAATCTTTCATTTGTTTAACCAATAATGGTAAAAGAATAGATAAAGATTTTTTTTTAATTAATAAAAATAAAATATTTTTTGAGATAATTTTTTATGATATTATTTTATGGTAATATATATTTTTTTCTGATAACTTTCATAAACTTTTTTTTATTTATCATAGTAAATTTATTATTAATAAATAATTACGCTTATCACTTTTACCATTTTGTTACGTACATGATGATCGTCATTTTTTTTTGAAAAGAATCACGTTTTTTTTTTTTTAAAAAAAAAATATATATTAACTTGCCATCCGTGGAGAAGCTAACTGCTTGAAGCTTGAAGCTTGAAACTTATGCCTAAGCCTATACTTAAGTATATGCTTCAAGCTTCACAAGCTTAATATAAAAATGCTGGAAAAGTTTAAGCTAAATTTGGGCATCAAACTAACCATATATTGAATTTCATGGTTAGTATGATCAACAAATTTATTAAAACAATACTACTATTAAAGTTAAACACATTACACAAGCTTTTCGGCATTCTTATCTTCAAGCTAACAAGAACTAGGTTTATTGAGAAGCTAGAAGGTTTTTTATCATGACAAGCCCCTATGAAAAATTTTTATCCAAATATTTACATTATTTCTCCGTGGCATTCATAAAATTTCGTGAAAATGATACATTCACGGATATCCGTGTTAGCAGCAAATCCTATATGAGCTCTATCTCTATGCTGTGTTATAAAGTACACCTAACGGTATGTAAAATAACTAAACTAAACTCGACCCAATACTCGACCCTGCTTTATCATCCCGTGGCTAGCTAATCCTATTAATATAACAATTAAAATAAACAAATCTACATCATAAACTACAAAAAAAACCTAAATACTAACTATTGTGAAATGAATTTGTTACCAGAAAATTTTTTACGTAAAATCACGTGACTTCTCTAAGGCCACGCAAACTAATATTTTTGGTTCACGTAACATTAAAATTTAAAATTGACCCGG